CCATGGGTGCAAGTTTAGGGTCTTTAAAGGCTTGAGTAATAGCGTACTCAATTTTTAAAACACTAACAAAATACAAATTAGAAGTGGGATATTCTTTGCCACACAAATTACAACGAGCATAATCTACCTTTTCATTACCTATCGTCTTTACAAAAAAAGTGTAATGCTTCCATATACCTGCGGTTCTTTGACGTTTATTAACAGAAGGATTGATATTGATAATGCCGGTATTACTAGCATCATCATCCGGGACAGAGGCAGCTTGAGAGCTAATAGTATCAAAATTTGAGTGCCTCTCATAGTCAAATTCATCATACTCACGAGACATGACTGAAAAAAAAAAAAAAAACAGCATTTATAAGTACCAAATTAAGTGACAGATTCTACTAATAGTGAGCAATTAAGCATGCATTGTCTCATGTGACTGACATATGTGTACATTCTAAGTACTAACTTTAAGCCAACTTTAAGCCAATCATACAAGTATACATTTTAAGCATGCATGATTTCCCTTTTTTTTCAGTAAGGCATAAGGACCCATAATTGAATTTCAATGGATAAATTCATTCTTGAGTACAAAATATGCCAATTATTACAAGTATGCAGTTGACGGTATGGTCAACCATCATTTTTTATGGAGTATGGACCAAAGCATGAAGCACAACTGCACAAGTATTCCAATAAATAAACAATGCATGTATTCCAACAATAATAATCACATAATCTGAATAACCCATCATCATTACTTTTAAATCGAGCATAATAAACAACAAAACAACACAAATCTATCATTTTTCAGTAAAAAACAAAAATACAATCAACAACAGATTTTAGGCATATTTCGACTATATTCAAGCAAGAACAACAACAATAATCAAATACAAAAACAAAAAAACTGTATTAAAAAAAAACGAAAAGGAAAAAGTAATTACCTTTGACGGCTTGAAGGAGATTTGAAGATGGAGAACTGCCTGAACTGGAGACCAAAAGAAAAAATCAAGAATGTAGATTATCAGAACTTGAAATAAAAAAAAACCGAAACGAAAACGAAAAAAATCGAAAAAATTAACAAAAAAATTACCTTGAGGTTTGACGGCTTGAAGGAGAGGAAGATTTGAAAAAAAAAAAAACGAGAATGGAAAAGTCAGAAATCAAAACTTTAGATCCAAAACAAAAAATAAAACGAAAACAAAAACCCTAAATAAAAAAAGTAAAAAATCGAAACGAAAACGAAAAAAATCAAAACGAAAACAACAAAAGTTAACAAAAAAATTACCTTGAGGTTTGACGGCTTGAAGGAGAGGAAGATTTGAAAAAAAAAACGAGAATGGAAAAGTCAGAAATCAGAACTTAGATCCAAAACAAAATGAAACGAAAACAAAAACCCTAAATAAACAAACCGAAACAAAAACGAAAAAAATCAAAACGAAAACAACAAAAATTAACAAAAAATTACCTTGAGTTTTGAACTTTTGACGGCTTGAAGCCTTCAAATTGAAGGAGAGGAAGATTTGAAAAAACAAAAAAACGAGAATGTAAAGCGAGAAATCAGAACTGTAGATCCAAAACACAAATGAAACGAAAACAAAAACCCTAATTAGGATTTTTAAAAGTTGAGAAGTTGAGATTCTTGAGAATTTCAGAACGAAAGAGTGAGAAACTGAGAAGTTAGAGAGAGAAACTATGATAGATTGAGAATAGAAGAGTGACTGAGTGAGTAAAAGTGTAAAACGGCTGAATGGCTGATAGAGTGGTTTTTTTTTTCTAGGTTTAGGTTTTACTTGTTCAGTTGATCTAACCGTCCATATTCAATCTCAACATCTAACCGTTCATTTTTTTTTGTAGATTCCAGAATATTCATCTAGATCTAACGGTCTAGATTTTTCTTTGCTTTTCTAGGCCTTTTTGGCCGTTTTTTTTAATTATTTATTATTATTATTATTATTTTGAGGGATTATTATTATTATTATTATTATTATTATTGTTAGTATAATTATTTGTTAATATTATTATTATTACTAGTTTACTACTACTATTATTATAATATTATTATAATTATTATTATTATTACTATTATTATTATTTATTATCATTATTATTATTATTATTATTATTATTATTATTATTATTATTATTACTATTATTATTATTATTAGTTTATTACTTATAAGTTATAAATTGTAAGAAACGCAAATGTTTCAAAATTGAAATTGATTCAATACGACATAGTTAATGACTTAATGAGTTAATGCACATCAATATCTGACATCTCTATATGTATATTATATATATCTGTGAGTCTGTGACTGTATATCAGTATATATAATAAATTAATAAGAACTTAATAAGTAATAATACTAATAACTAATAAAATAATGAAAATCTAACCATTGTTTTTCATGGGCATTCAATCTAACCGTTGTATATTTGACTATTCGTACATTAGTATTGCATAATGATTTCATCACCACTTTAGTTAGTGATTTCGTGATTTCGTCCATTTAACTTATTAAGTTGTTTGAGTTAGTAACTAAATAAAGTAACAAACTAAATAACGAATCCATTTAATCTCGTGTAAGTTATAATTTATAAGAAATGCAATGTTTGGAAATGGAAATTGATTTAATACGATATTGTTAATGTATATGTAATTATAGATTAATTATTATGTATATCATATCGTACGAATGTACGGTTGGTATCATTATCATACTATCATAAGTATCATTGCCTCATTGAATTATTGGTATGTACTACAATCGATAAACATATTTACATATCTGATTATTAAAACTTAAAAGTTTAAAACACTTGTTGATCAATCTAATTGAATACTTGTACATTCTTAATTATCGATTTATCGTATTATAAGTATCAACTCATTAAATCATGGTCATGACGCGATCTTTAAAACAATCATGAATTCATGACCCAAACCGCTTATAAACCGAACCGACATGATCCAAACCGTTCATAAACCGAACCAATTGAACTGTGTAAACCCTCCACTAAACCGGCCCATTTCAAACTGAACCGACATGATTCGCACCGTTTATAAACCGAACCGATATTGACCCGGGTAAACCCGCCCCTAAACCGACCCATTTCAAACCAAACCGGCTTGATCCAAACCGTTTGTAAACCGAACTGACATTGACCCGGGTAAACCCGCCCCCTAAACCGACCCGTATCAAACTGAACCGACATAATCCGAATCGTTTATAAACCGACCCGCTTATGACCCAAACCGAATTTAAACCGCAAAGAAATAAACCGAAACCAAACCGAGCCGTGACTAACCCAAACCGAACCAAACCGACCCGCCAGCTAAACTAAACCGTTTCAATCCGAACCGCTCCAAACCGAAACCGACTCAAACCGAGGTCAAACCGAACCGCCAAACCGAAGTCCCACCCCTATATGGGACTACTATGGGTAACTAATCTTCAACTGGGAATTTTCCATATGTGATTATTTTTATAACCTTTTGTTGTATGAATGTGTGATTCTTTCCTTATGTATATCTCCTCCGTTGAAATTTTGAATGAGCCTGGCTTAACTATCTGCTCTTCAACCACTCTTTGTAATGTGTTAACTCCTCTGATCTTTTTATCTTTGTAAACTAATTGATGACAGATGCAAAGAGGTTAATTGGGCGGGAGTTTGATGATGAATTAATGCAAAAGGACATGATACTTTGGCCTTTTAAGGTTGATGCTAGCCCTTGTCATGGAACTGGCAAGAAGCCTGTGGTTGCAGTTACCTACAAGGGAGAACAGAGAAAGTTTGCAGCAAAAGAAATTTCTGCTATGGTCCTGATGAAAATGAAAGAAGTTGCAGAGGCATATGTTGGCTCAGCTGTGAAGAATGCTGTTGTTACTGTTCCAGCTTATTTTAATAATCTGCAGCGCCAGGCAACTAAGGATGCTGCAACTATTGCTGGGCTTAGTGGTGTACGAATTATTAACGAGCCAACAGCATCTGCCTTTGCATATGGCCTTGCCCAGAAGCCTATTGGCAGCAATGTTGTGAGAAGAAATGTTTTGGTAATTGATCTTGGTGGGGGAACTTATGATGTAGCCTTGGTTACTTTTAAAAAGGATGTAATTCGAGTAAAATCAGTTAGCGGAGACACCCATTTAGGAGGAGGGGATTTCGACATCAGAATGGTTAGACACTTTGCAGCTGAGTTTGAAGAGAAGCATCATAAGGACATCAGTCGAAATCCTAGGGCCATGGCAAGGCTGAGAGCTGCCTGTGAGAGGGCAAAAAGGAACCTTTCTTCAACATCTATAGCTACAATTGAGATTGATTGTCTTCTAGAAGGCACAGATTTTTCCTCAACTATAACTCGTGCCCAATTTGAGAACTTAAATTTGGACTTGTTTGAAGAGTGTATAAAACATGTAAAGAAATGCTTGAAGGATGCTAAAATGGTTAAAGGTGATGTTAATGATGTTGTCCTAGTTGGTGGATCAAGTAGAATCCCTAAAGTTCAACAACTGTTGCAAGACTTCTTTTGTGGTAAGGAGCTCTACAAAAGCATTAACCCGGATGAGGCCGTTGCTTGTGGGGCTGCCATTTATGCTGCAAGTTTGAGCTGTTTTGATGATAACAATCTGAGGCTTGTTGATGTAACTCCATTGTCTATTGGGGTTAAGGTTCATTTGGGAAGAATGGCTGTTGTCATTCCAAGGAACAGCCCTATTCCAACGAGAATGGAGAAGATCTTTACAACTTCAAGGGACTACAAGACTCGAGTATATATTCCTGTGCACCAAGGTGAGACACTTGAAGCATCGGACACTAACTTTTTATGTGAATTGAAGCTCTCAGGAATTCCTCAAGCACAGAAACACATTCCTAGAATTAAAGTCTTCTTTAAAATTGATGCTGATGGAATCCTACATTGCTCTTCCCAGGATCTGATGACAGGAAACAAAATCAGAACTATACCACACTATCATAGTGGGAGATTGTCAAGAAAAGAGGTTTGGAGGATGGTGAAAGATGCTGAAAAGTTTAAGGTTGCGGATAAGCAGTATCAAGAGAAGGTAAAAGCTATGAATTCCTTAGAAACATATACTCAAAACATGGCAACCATGCTGGAATGTCATGGAGCAAAAGTTGGGCTCAGAGAGAGGCGGAAGATGGGGGTTGCTATTAATCTGACAATTCAATGGCTAGACCAGAATTTGGTTCTTGCAGAAGGTTGCAAGTTTGAGGAAAAAATGATAGAACTCGAGGGCGTTTGTGGACCAATTATCAAAAAGATGCTTGAGACACAGAATTCATCAACGAGTAGTAATGGCGCAAGTGGCAGCAGAGCAAAAATTGAGATCATCAAACTTGAGTTGGATTAATCTGTTGTTGCCGCGTATTTTAATTTGCAGACAGATTGGTATGGTAAGAGTTCATTTTATTGTAATTCTTTTGCAGGATAGAACACTAAAGCTCGATATTAGTGGTTCATTATGATTAATGTTTTAAATAGTAACTTCACTTGTATTTTGCATGACACTGTTAATAAAAGCTTAAAGGAGTGATTCAGGAAATTTGTGTCAATAACTGTGATTATAATGCTTGCAACACCCCCTCAGTGACTGATTGATTGGTAATGAATCCAATCTAAATGTTTTCTCAATTTTGGTAACGATTAATCACGTACATTTTATTGCTTGACAATTCTTTTTTTTGGTGAGATTATTGCTTGACAATTTCACTCACACTAAACAGTAAACACCATAACAAATAATTTTTCGTAATTTTTCTCTGTTTTAACTTCAAAATGTCAAATTTATAGGTCGTCTGTCAATTTTTGTTCCGATTGATTATTACAGCTCCAACATAATTGCACTTCATACTCCATAGCTAGGGATATAACTGCAATGTATTCTTAACAATCATTAAAAAAAACTACACATACAATTTGAGTTACTCCGTATCAATTACCATTGTTTCTCCTTATATGTTCTGCCTCTATACTTTACAATAACATCGTGGGGTGGCGCTAGGATTTTTTTAATTACGTTTTTTTTATCAGATTAAATTACTTGCTAATTTTTAATAGGTGGCTAACAGTTAGCCGAATAGTTTTATATGGAGTACTCCCTTTGACCCTTTGTATTCTTTTAGTTACCTTAGAGTTTGTCAATTTTTATAAATTACTCTGTACTACGAGAGTCTATGACAAACTATTGTATTACTCATCTCTCTTATTTTACATTTGGTCTCATTGATGTTTTCTTGTCTACTTCACTCACCAAAAATTAAATACTTCGTGTTCCGTTCAACAAAACTCTAATCAAACAAACAAAAAAGGACAAAGAGAGTATTTATTACAGAGTATCTTACACTTAGGGGCTACTACAAGCAAAACCTTTTCCATCATTTAAGCTAAAACCATAGGTACTCAGAGAGAAAACTGGTGGAACTATTCTACTTTTATTCAGCACTACACACTTCCCTTTGCTTCATTATTAAGTTAAAAGAAAGGGAAGTAAATGCAGCGGGAAAGATGGCAGGAAAACACTTCATGTAAGCAATTAATTACTTCCTACTTGTTTTTATTACTCTTTCATTCATCCTTATTACCTACTTCTCTGTCACCTTGACTTCATACTCAAAAGAGCTTCATTTTTATTATCTCTATTTTTTTTGTTTTCTTCCATTTACTGAAGTGAAGTTTAGAAAGGTAGTGTGTGACTGTGTGAGACAATGGCAAAGGAGAAAATGCCGGCAATCGGGATCGATCTCGGGACAACAAACTCATGTGTGGCAGTTTGGCGTAATGGTAAGGTGGAGATTATCACTAATGATCAAGGTAATCGTACCACACCGTCTTATGTTGCCTTCACAAAAAAAGAACGCTTAATTGGTGATGCTGCCAAGAACCAAGCTACTATCAACTCTGCCAACACTATATTTGGTTTGTTCTTTTCTCTTTCTGTTAATTTTGCTGTCTTATTTTGTTTCAAAATTAATTTTGCTGTCTCAACTTGTAAATTTAGAAGCTTTTTTCAGCATGTTTACTACACTTACTTTCCTAGCACTGTTGTGAGATAATGTTTGAATTTGTTATGATGTATGATGAATTGAGTTATGCTCACTATATTTTTAGCTCTAACTTTGAGATAGGAAGGGTATTTAGGGGTAGAGATTCTCTTATCCTTCGAACTCCCGATAACTTGATACATGAGAATAGTCAGTTCAAACTGATCTTTCTCCTTACCTAAAAAATTCTAGTTTCATTTTCTTGTGATAGGTAGGTTTTTAATTTTTGAAGGGTAAGATGAAATTGATCTCATTCCAATCCCAAACAATAAGTCCATGTTTTGGAATAAATTTTATATGGAAGTTAAAGTAGTTTTAGAATAAGAGGATTTGAATTTGGAATTGTTGAATATTTTGTTCCTTAAAAACCCACAGAACTCTGAACTGGTCTGTATTTGTATGCACTTCTACCACCCTATAAAAACGATCCACAAGATGTAACAATAATCTGCTCTATTATTGCCTGTAAAGATTACCTACAATTGAGTGTTGACGACTGCATTTTGGCCCTGTTGTTTCTGACTTCTGAGTTTTCGAATTGTGGTTTTGCAAAAGTGAGAGGCCTCTATGCTCCATATTTTTTGTAAACATAAAAATGTATTTTAGGTTAGCACTCCATAGTTCATTTATATAATGTTTGTAGGTACTAAATAACCAATCTTTTGAATGTTAATTTAATCTCCTCCTCGAATTCATTAAAATTAATTGATGACAGACGTGAAGAGGCTTATAGGTAGGGGCTTCTATGATGAGGCTGTGCAGAATGACATCAAACTTTGGCCTTTCAAGGTTGTTCCTAGTAATGATGAGGATAAGAAGCCTCTGATTGTGGTCACCTATATGGGCAAAGAGAAGAAATTTACTGCTGAAGAAATTTCTGCTATGGTCCTTTCGAAGATTAAAGAAATTGCAGAGGCCTATCTTGGAGTAACAGTTAAGAATGTTGTCGTCACTGTGCCAGCTTACTTCAACAATTTGCAGAGACAAGCAACCAAGGATGCTGGAGTTATAGCTGGCTTGAATATCATACGAATCATTAATGAGCCAACAGCTGCTGCCATTGCTTACGGCCTAGACAGAAAGGCAGCCACTGGCAAAACGAATGTGATGGTATTTGATCTTGGCGGGGGTACTTTAGATGTCTCTTTGATCACGATTGAAAGTGATGCATTTGAAGTCAAATCAGTTAGTGGAGACACTCATTTAGGTGGTGAAGATTTTGACAACAGAATAGTGAATTACTTTGTGAATGAGATTAAGAGAAAGCACCGTAAGGACATCAGTGGGAACTCCAAGGCTATTGGGAGGCTAAGAGCTGCTTGCGAGAAGGCAAAAAGGATCCTTTCTTCTGCTGCTGTGACCAGTATAGATATTGATTGCCTTTTTGAAGGTATTGATTTCTCTTCAAGTTTCCCTCGTGCTCGGTTTGAAAAGTTGAGCTTTGATCTGTGCAAGAGATGTATAGGTCCAGTTGAGAAATGTTTGAAAGATGCTAAAATGGAAAAGAAAGACGTTGATGAAATTGTCTTAGTTGGTGGGTCAAGTAGGATCCCTAAGATTCAAGAATTGCTGAGCAAGTTCTTTGATGGGAAGCAGCTTTGCAAAAGTATCAACCCGGATGAGGCGGTTGCCCATGGAGCTGCAGCTCATGCTGCAATCTTGAGCTGTGTAGATAATGAGGATTACGTGCTTGTTGATGTTACTCCATTGTCTCTTGGCATTGAAAATCATCGTGGAGAGATGTCGGTCATAATCCCTAGGAACACTCCAATTCCGGTAATGAAAGTGAAGGAATTTACAACAACAGAAGACAACCAAAGTGAAATAACTTTCAATGTTTATGAAGGTGAGAATCCCATTGCCAACAAAAATAACTTTTTGGGTGTATTTGAACTCTCGGGAATTCCTCCAGCACCCAAAGAAAATCCTAATATAAAGGCGTGGTTTGAAATTGATGCTGATAGTATCATGAAATGTTATGCCCAAGATGAGGCTTCTGGCAGTAAGAATGGAATAACCATTTCGTATCAAACTGGGAATTTGTCGAAGGAAGATGTTGAAAGAATGTTGAGAGAAGCTGAGAAGTATAGGTACGAGGATGAGCTATGCAAGGTAAAGGTCCAAGCTATGAATGAGTTGGAAGAATATCTTGAGGACATGAGGTACTTTCTTGAAGCTGAGAAGAGTATTGTGCTTGAGGACAGGAATATGATGGAAGATGTCATTGAGAAAACAGTACAATGGATGGATTGGAATTTCCTTCTTACAGAAATTTCTAAGTTCAAGGACAAGCTGAAAGAGCTCAAGAGTGTCTGCGAACCCATAGTCAAGAAGATGGACAAACTGTGTGATGCTGAGGCAGGCATCACTAATGTGGGAAATGATATTGTCGAAGTTGATTAAGCTTGAATTCAGATAACAACTTTGTTGAACAGGCTTGAAGATCTATCTCCAGTATACGGTTACGAATTCCAACCTGGTAAACTGGTTTCTAATCTTTTGTTTACTTTTAAGATGTTTTGTATCTGAAATCATGCCTTTTTCCTGCTGTCTTACTCTTTGGAACAACATTATGCTGCCAGTGGCAGGGGATTGTAATATTATCCTACTCGAAACCTTGAATTAACCTCCCTAATTGTATGATTATTCTGCAAGTATGTACCAGAATTAATCTTGGTGATCATATATAATGTTAGGTAGTTTCGGTTTGCTAGATGTCTACTGTATGTCCTGTAAAAAATGAATACTACTGCATGACTTGAGTCTTTTGCAAGAATTTGATCTGGTTTTATTTCCTTATTATATTTGACATTATCTTGACTTATGTTGCAAACATATTATCAGATTTAAACATGCAACATCCCAGTGATTAGCTAACAGCACATTACTATCTTGGCATCTGATCAAAACATTGTATATAATAGTATGTGCATTAGCAAAGCATTAGAATGACTTACAAAAATTATTTTCCTACTAGAAAAGTCCACCAAATTCAATCAAGCTTTAAAAATAGGTAAGGATACCGCCGACTTCCCAGCATCTTTTCCAAGATAGGCTCACAAGTTCTCTGAAGCTCATTCAATTTTTCCTCAAACTTACAGGCCTCTGGAAGCAGGTAATTCCAATTTAGCCATTGGGTTATACTCTCAATCACATCGCCGAGCAGCTTCTTCTCACTTATCCCAATCTTCATTTCGCAGCTTTTCAAGGTGTTTGTCATCTTGTCGATATACATTTCTAGGTTGTTCTTAGCTATAGCTGCTTCCTTGCGCTTCTCATCCTGAGCTTTGAATATAATGGCCTCTTCCACCATTCTATCAATCTCTTTCTTAGGTAACCTCATACTGTGATTGGTAATGGTTAATTGATTCTTGTTTCCGGTGTTTTTATCCACTGCTGTCACAGTCAAGATGCCATTCTCATCTATGCTCAAAGACTCCATAATTATTGGAACACCCGCTGGTGCTGGAAGTATGCCATGGAGTTCAAACTTACCCAAGAAGTTGTTATCCTTCGCAATGGGTCTCTCACCCTCGTAAACACAAATTTGCACTGCCGACTGATTGTCATATTTAGTAGTATATCGTTTCTCCATCTTTGCAGGGATTGGTGTGTTTCGAGGAATCAGAACATCAAACGCACCACTAATAAGCTCAATACCAAGAGATAAGGGAGTAACATCTACAAGCACAGTGTTTTTACTGCTGCAATCGACACCGGCCATGACAGCAGCAAAAAAAGCAGCACCATAGGCAACAGCCTCATCAGGATTAATGCCTTTGCAGAGCGTTCTCCCATTGAAAAATTCTTGCAACAAGGTCTGCACCTTAGGTATCCGAGTTGAACCGCCAACTAAAACAACATCATGAACATCATCCTTCTTCAGCTTTGCATCCTTCAAACACTCCTCAACAGGGCCCAAACAATTCATGAACAACTCCATATTTATCTTATCAAACCGTGCACGATTCAGGGTAGAAAAAAAATCAATGCCTTCAAACAGACAATCAATTTCTATAGTAGTCTCGGTAGTTGAAGAGAGGTTTCTCTTTGCCCTCTCACAAGCAGCTCTCAACCTCACAAGAGCCCTTTGATTACCACTTATGTCCTTATCGTGTTTCTTTTTAAACTCATTTACAAAGTGGCTAACAACTCTATTGTCAAAGTCTCCACCACCAAGGTGGGTGTCACCATTTACTGCTTTTACTTCAAACACATCCTTCTTAATAGCCACTAAAGAGACATCAAAAGTTCCACCTCCTAGATCAAAAACCAAAATCTTTTTCTTCCCAGTACAATCTCTATTAATCTTCTTGTCTAGACCATATGCAATGGCAGCAGCTGTTGGCTCGTTAATAATACGCATGACATTGAGCCCAGCAATGGTACCAGCATCTTTAGTTGCTTGGCGTTGAGCATCATTGAAGTAAGCAGGAACGGTGATCACAGCATTCTTCACTTCTGAGCCTAGGTAGGCCTCTGCAGTCTCCTTCATTTTCGCTAGGACCATAGAAGATATCTCTTCAGGAGCAAATGTCCTGTCTTCACCTTCATATGTTACTGAAATCATAGGCTTTTGGAAATCGCCAGCATCGGGGCTAGCAACCACTTTAAATGGCCAATGGATCATGTCTTTCTGTACCATTTCATCATTGAATTTCCTACCTATAAGCCTCTTCGCATCTGTCATCAATATAACCAAGTCAAGCAAGTTAAAACTACAGCATATTAAAACCAATCCAAACACAATGTATCATACTTAGAATACTTAGAATTAGAACTATTCCATTACAGATTTGCAGTAAGCAAAAAATTTGACAATTGGGAAAATTTCCAAATTCTAATCATAACCAGCCAAATATCTTAATTATTTTATTTCATGATTTTTTATAGGAAAAGGATAATAACCCTCAATAATTTTTAGTCTTCTAAAAGTGAAACAAAAAATATGGCATGAACATTTATAGTCCATATATTCTTAACCTATATACATGTATAACTTAAGTTTGGGAATAAATTAAACCTTTCACCTTTGCAATGACATTACAAGCAGGATTTAATTAATTGTGTAGATCAATTTATATTATACACATATACTACGAAGTAGGTATAAAATCAAGAATCAACAAATATTGAAGAATAACTACATTAATCAAGAATCAATCAAAGAAAACCAAATCAAACAAGCATGAAATTAAAGAAAGCAATAAGATGAGATAGAGAAAACAGCAAATTTTGATTATTATTCTACATTATCTCTAATGTACCCTACAAAACCATAACAAAAAAAAAAAAAAAAAGAACATGCATAATAACAAAGAGAGGAAGACTAACCAAAGACGGTGTTGGTAGGGTTAAATGCAGCCTGGTTCTTGGCACTCTCACCAACAAGGCGCTGGTCTTTGGTAAAAGCTACACAAGACGGCGTGGTACGGTTGCCTAAGTCGTTGTGAATGATTTCAACTCGACCATGCTGTGGCTGCCACACTCCCACACATGAGTATGTAGTCCCTAAATCGATTCCTATTGCCGGCCATAGATTATCTCCCTTTTCTTTCATCGTTATTGTTTCTGAATTAACTCCACTATAATGTTGATAAATTGGAATTCAATTGACTTGTATTACTTTGTGGAAGATTTACCATCGAATACTCCTCTATATATATATATATATATATATATATATAGAGGAAGACTCATATAGGAACCCTCCTCTATATAAGAACCCATTATATATAAGAACTAATCTGGACCGTGAGATTTGAATAGATCTGACCGTCCAAAATGAATAGATTAGTAATGACACTTTGGTAATTTCAGCTGCACCCTTACCCCTCTAGATCTTTCTCCTTCTTCACTCATAATATGTTACAGGTCTTTCTTTCTCTTCACTCTTCTCATAATTCTTGCTGCAAATCCTCTCAATCAACGCAAGTTCATGAAATTCTTCAAGAAATTAAGGTTTGTCATTCAACTTTTATAATTTCTATTCTTACTTTTATTGAATTTATGTGTTCGTTTTTAATATTTTCGATTTAGTTTCCTTGTATTTTGTTCGATTTTTTTTTGGTTTTTTTCCCGTCAATTTCGAACAGATCTTAGCAGAATTTCGCAATTTTTGATTTTTTTTTTCTTCAAATTCAAACAATTGATTATAGATCCGTCAATTTCGAATTGATCTTTCCAGAGTTTTTGATTTTTGATATTGTGTTTGATTATATGCTAATTTTTTTTGCTTCATTTATAATTTTTTTTGCAATTTTTTTGAATCAATTTTTGATGATTTACTGTTTTTTTTGTACAAAATGTGATGTGTCTGTTATTTTTTGCAACTAATTATGTAATTTCTAAATGAATGAAATGACTTCTGTGATTAGTTATACGGTCTTGTTCCAAACTATTTTTCCAAACTATTTTTCAGCATGTTCTAAATTAGTTATACGGTCTTGTTGTGTTCTTAATTGTTAGTGATAGCATTTTCATGATCTATTGGGTGGTCGGTTGGCGCTACACAAGATGTTCCCAATAAGAGGGTCCTTGCTTTATAGGTGATGGAAGTTTCCATTTATTCTTATAAATGAAGTCTTTTCCTTTTGTGTTATCCTAGCTAATTTTGGTGGTGAAGCAGAATATATATTTTTGGAATAATTGATCATGTTCTGAATAATTTGTGCATATGTTCTTATGTTCTAAAGTCTAAACTATAAAGTAAATATCCTTAACTTTATATTGTACATGTTATGTTGCACTTGGTGTTGGCTATATTAGTTGCCTATATTCTTTCAAGTGACTTGTATCAAGAATGAAAAAAGTGTGAAGTACTAAGTGCTGGAACCACTTTCAAGTAAATTTTTTCTTCTGGTGTTGTGTTATATTGTGCCTGCTACTGTTTTAAGCCGAATGTCCCCTACCAGGCTGCCACAACTCATCACATGTCTCTATTTTATACTTGTATTTATGAAAATGAGAATGGCTGATATATGATCAATTTGCATGCTGCAGCCTGTCATTCAAGATAACTTGATTTCGTCATTGAACTTGGGTTATCTGATGTATACATACAGAGTCGTCAATCGTGTCTTGCTTATGATATTTATATGTCGTTTTTAAAGTGTGGAAATTATTGATTACTATGTAAATATAAGTTCTACGATATGAAGTGATTTCATAGGAATTGATGAAAGAATGTGCGAATTAAAAATAGTACTCTAATAATGTGGATTACAAAATTTGTAGTGTTAGAAAGTGGTAAGTGATGAATGCTCATTACTTGAGACTTTGATTACTTGCACACTTTGGCATACTATATCATCACTATGCATATCATGTAAGTACTACATGTATACTCTTCTTAAACAACCTCACATGATATGCATATCGATTATGAGTATACTTTCTGATTTAAGCACTACCCTTTATTGTTAGTCATATTTTTGTCAAAACTTGCTTGGTTAGCATTAGTCTTAACATGGGATAGTCTTTGTCATCCCAAAAAGTGTACTAAAGGACTGCTATGAGCTAACCTAATGTCTATCTTTTTAGTAATTTTTTTAGTTTAAATGCTTTATATACATTAGCCTACTAGCTCAACGGGTAGAGCATTGTGCAAATGCACTAAAGATGTGGGTTCGAATCCCACGTAGGTTCATTTTCATAGTGTGGAGACAAGAGTTTGTATGTGAGTTAAGTTGTAACAAAGTTTCTATAGTCGTTAATCATATCAACCAATTTATTCTTGTACAAAATATAACTTAGAGCTAATTTA